GTTCGGGGGACTCGGGTTGGCCTGACCAGGCCGTCAAGAAAATGACTGGACCCACTCTGAAATTTGACGCGAGCTCCCGCTGCAGACATTCCACGAACACTGCAACGTCAATATCCAGGGTGGGCTCGTCAAAAAGCGTAGGCGAACTCGAGGTCCGACGTTCTCGAGTCTTACGTTTCCCCAAACTGTTTCAAACGTATGCTGCGGGCACAAGCACACACGGCGCGCCTCGCCGCATCTGAGTCGTCCCCCTCCCTGAGGGTGTGCCTCCTTCTGTCCCGCTGCCCTGCGTCTCCCTCAGCAGAATCTTGAGACCCGTCCCCACCCCCCACTGAGGAAGCCTTGGCCTGGCTGTCCAAGGGCGCCTGAACTTCGCGCTCTGACGCCGCCCCCCAGGGGAAGAGAAGGATGAGGAGCAGTCTGAGCCGAACCGCGAAGCGAGAATCATCTCGCGCCCTCGAGGGCGCCCTTGCCGTCTGTCGACCTAGCCCCCGGGCGCAGACAGACTCCCTCTCCCTGGAATGCCGGGTAGCTCATTCAGAGTCTCGGGATGAAAAGCTGGTGGCGCTGATGCGCCCCGGACCACTGAACGATGATCCTCAGAACGTGTGTTAGCGCCAGCGTGGACTTGCCAACTGAGGCCCTTCCCTACGACGAAGGCGATGTGATGATCGGCTGGTTGAGTAGAACGGGGTAAACACACATTGGGCTAACACACGTCCTGAGGATCATCGAACTGGGGATTGGGATGGGCCTGACGATGCTGACCTCCCCCATGCCCTTGCCTTGGAGAGGCCCGGGGGGTCTGCGCTGGATGGGCCACAAGAAAAAACTGCTGGTTGACCCAGAAAGGGGGGTCCAGCTGAAAGGGGGTGGAGCAATAGGTTTGGGGGCAATTGTGTTGCAAATGTACTGCGCCAGAAAATCGTATTGCATCGTATCGCAGCTACTGTATTGCACGCGGAAGCCCAGCAGTACACTTGCGCACCAGCATGTATTGCACGCCCCAAGTCTGTTGCAACCCCACAAGTCGACTGCACCAAATCTATTGCACCACCCCCTTATCGCAGGACAAACATTTGGGTCAACCAAAAATGAGTCAAGAGGGGGGAACGAGGGCATATCCGCTCGAAACGGCCCCTGGACCCCCTCCAGGGGGTCGAAGCTGACAAGTTGTTCCAGGCGCGTCCAGCTGCAGCGCCCAGGGGCCGCTTGCTTCCCCCCCCATCTGTGCTGGCTGGATCTCGTGCTCAGCCCGCCCAGCCTCCCGACCAGCTCCCCTCCTCGTCCCCCCGAATCGAATGCCCCTTCGGACCGAGAGTCGCCTGCCCTTGTGGGAGTGCCACTTCCTCTGGAACGCGTGTGGCGCCCTGGCGTCCTTAACTAGACTAGGAGGCTCACGGGTGTGGCGCGGTCGACACCGCTGGTGTCTTGCAGAGCGCCAGTGGCCACGCCAGAAAGGATGGCACGTGGGTTCGATGTAGCGGGTCGGAGCCGAAAACACCATCTGACCAAGGGTATCGATGGTGGGCCTGCGCGCATGGATCTAGCGGTCCTGTTCCTGTAAGGACCGATGCTCGCACTGAAAGGGACCAGCGTCCTGCGAAAGCGGAAGAGCAGCGCAGCGGAGATGAGAGAGGTGTATCGAATGTCGGAGCGAGACAGAACAAGACAGAGAGAGAGAGAGAGAGAAAAACAAGATTGGGCCAAGAGAAACCGCAACCGCGGAAAATCTCGGCGACGACTGTGCGCAGACGAACGGCGGTCATTCCTCACGGACCCCGAACGTTTATGTGTTCTTCTGCTGCTGTTCTAAGAAAAATGCCCAACGTTGAGCAGGGACCGACCATCCTGGCATTCCTGGAGGGGCTGCCAGGGCGTTTTGTCAGAACAGGCGATTGTTGTAAAGACAATTGTGACTACAACAACACTGTTCTCACTCAAAACATGAAACCGGCATTTTAAAACAACACTGTCTCAGACAGCAGCGTTCTTGGAGCCTCACGTGCGCACCACAAAAGGTTCAGACTTCGGAAAAAAAACTCTCTGGTGGACCCATAGGCGTGCCAGGACGCTCCGCCACTGCTTGATCGAAGGGTGCCCCGTCGTCGTCGACGCCGACAGGGTACGTCGTCGACGGATCCGCGTCACCGCGGCGCCACCCGCGTCACTCTGCCCAGCCTCGAGGCCTGGCGCACTCGGCGCTCCCTCTTGCCTGGTGAAGGCCAAAGATTGACATGAACCCGTGCTCACGTCGTGCATCGGGAACACGTCGACACGGAACCGTGGATCTGGCGCATGGGCGCCGGGTCCACGGATCGCGGGGAACGTGCCCGCCGAAGATTGGCGCCAGCGCTGCCTGATTTGGCGACCAGATGATGATTAGGATGATGCTGCTGCTGATGATGAAGATGATGATGCTGGTGATGGTGATGATGACGATGACGATGACGAAGACGATGCTGATGGTGATGATGGTGATGATGCTGATGATGATGACGATGCTGATGCTGATGCTGATGATGATGATGCTGCTGTTGCTGTTGCTGATGATGCTGATGCTGATGCTGATGATGATGCTGATGATGTTTGGGCAGCGGAGCGGGCCGATTCTGCATGCCAGCGGGGCCCGTCGCCGTAACCCACGCGCCCGAACCCCAGCTCGCGCTTCCTCGAGCGAGCAAAACCGTGGCGGCGAACCCCTTTGCTCGCTCCCTCGACGCCCCGGGGGCTCTCGCCAGGCCCCGGGCCCCGTCCACGAGACGGCTCGGGGCCAGAAGCCGGCCTTGGCCATGGAGTACGGGCTCGGCCACCAGAAACCCTCAAAGAGAAGCCCCAACCCTGAGACCCCAGGACGTCCATGGATGTTTGGCGTGGGAACGTCACGCCCTCAACAGCAAGACCATCGGAGCCCAGGAGGCCCAGAGCACCCCGGAGGCGAGCAGGGTGTTTCTTGGCATGGGTTTCCACTGCAGCACGGACAATACGAAGACGTCACATGCCACATGTCTGGGCTTGCGGCTTGGGTCGGCCTGCTGGCGCGCGCACGGCGCGACGGGGCCGCCGGGCAGTGTGGAGAATTAGAAGCCCATCGTGATTCACCGAGAGAAGGGCCCATAACCCCTGAAGAGGGAACCTAAACTAGGAGTGTCAAGCAAATTAGGTCCAGGGGGTCTTTCTGCAGATGTACCGGACCAAACCGCCCAGAATGATTACCCCTAGTGCAAGGACGGGGCCCTCACTGAGGCCACGCCTTCACTCTGTTGTGAGGGTCAAGGGGGGGGTTCTTTGATCCTCGATGACATCGGGCGCCGACCCCTGCGATCCGCGAGGCTCTCCGACGGCCCGTGTGCGCACGCGTCCCCCCCCGAGGCGTCTGCGCACCCCGTGCCCCCCTCTCGCCGTGATCGCCCCCCTCGCCGCGCCCGCTGCCGCCCCCCCCCCCCCCACAAGGGGGGCGGGAGGGACTCGCGGGGACCACACCCCAGGAAAGGGAGCATCGAGCTGGCATCGGCGATCAGAAGGATGCACGATAAGGATGCAAGGGCATTGGAAGGCCGTTTCGAAGCTTTTCGAGCAGGCCTCGGCCAACGAAAGCGGCCAAGGATGGACCGAGGAGGGGCAAGGATGCAAGGGTACCTGTGAGAAGCTTGCCCATTGCGGGTTGACTGTTTCGCCGATAGGTCGGCGATTCGCCCCCGATAGCAAAGCTGCACGCTCTTGGGCGGGGGGGTGATGCGCCCCCACTTGAGCTTAGATCCCCGTCCCTGGTGGCGTTCGGCCATAACTCAGGCCTCTGGCGGCCGTTCGGGACGATTCCGGCAACCCCAGACCGCCGTCGGTGAGGCGCAGCTGCTGGAAAGCATTCCGAGGCTGGAAAGCCGCCGCGCATCGACGGAGACGTCCGAATACATTGAAGCTCGACTCCGAGGAAGTCGCCCCTCCCTGAGCCTACCCCCCCCTGATCATTGAATGCCAAGTTTTGTTAGTCGCGATCGGTAGCGACCGATCGGAACTCCAGAAGGTTCGAGCCCTGCACCTCATCTTTCTGCGCCCCTTCTCGAGCCTCATCGATCTGTGAGGGCCCGATGATGCCGCGGTGCCCGAGACCCGCTGCAAACTTGGGCGCTTACTTACACGAGCATACGTTGCGGCCTGACGCGGTGGCCTACGCGGGCCGCCGGCGCGGCATGCTGCATCAGAAAGAATGTGGTGTCGGTTCCATGGGAGCCTACGCGGCCCTGGGCGCTGTCCGATTTGGGTTTGGTTTGGACCTAATCTGGAATACTCTTGGGATCAGATTTGGACCAGGCAGGCCTACACGTCGGTCGAAAGAAGTAGGTAAAAACATGACGTAGGAAGGCATCGGACATAGATTGGGCTTCCGTCCACCCCCTGAAGAGGAAGGGGAAGGACAACGCACTCGATTCTTGAAGCAAGAATGCACTCCAAATAGACAGGGATCTGGGCATCCCAAGATACCTACTTGCAACGACCGGCGTGTAGAGACAAGGCCCTCAGAAGATACAAAGTCACCCATCCGCAGGGCCCCAAAAGAAGGAACAACCAAATGGGCATAAACATAAACTTGTCGCGCTTCGTGCGGACTTCTTGAATGCGCGCTGGGCCCCCCTTCCGCGCTGGAGGCTCCAGAAATTTATGTTTATGGCGTTCTTCTTTTTCTTATTATTATTATTATTATTATTATTATTATTATTTTTATTATTCGTATTATTTTTGATTGAAAAAGGCCCTACAGTGGAGACCCGTGCCAAGAAACACCCTGCTTGCCTCCAGGGAGCCCTGGATTTCTTGAGTTTCGATGGTTTTGCTACTGAAAGCGCAGCCTTCCCACACCAAACATCGATGGACAGCCTGGGGTCTCCGGGTTGGGTTTCCCGTGGAGGGTCTCTTGTGGAGGGGCCCCCACTGCAAAGTCACCCATCCGCGGGGCCCCATCCCTCCGAGCCCCACCTTCGAACCGCCGCCGCCTGGCAGGGTCACCGGGCGACCCGCCCCAAGACCCACGGGTGCGCGAGCGCCTCCGGGGCGGTGGGCCGCCTGGCCGGGTCGGGCGCGAGGAGGCGCCCGACGAAGTCCCCGAGGAGGCGCGGGACCCCCAGGCCGTGGAGCTTCTCGACGGTGGCCCTGCAGCCTCCTGCGATTGACCAGAAGGACCCCTAACCCAATCGGAGGGGATCCAAGATGGGAGGGCCAAAAACAAACCAGGGAACGGCTGTTTTCTGCAGATGCATCAGACCAAGCCGCCTAGCATTATCATCCCTAATTCAGTGCGACGACGGGGGCCTCAATGAAGCCACGCCTTCATCGTATTATTCGGGTTGGGGGTTCTTTTGTGCCAGATTGTCCTGTCTCCAGCACCTCACTCCGCGGCCACACGTTGACCTCATGCGCCTCGAACGGGGGACTCCCCGTCAGCAGTTGGTGGATGAGGCAGCCGAACTGGTACACGTCCCCCTTCTTCGCCGAACGCAGAGCGCCGGCAGGAGGCGTCATGGACTCTGGCGGAAAGCACTGCTCCCTGCCTGTCTGGACGTTCCACGGCATAAGGACCTCGTTCTGCGGGTTGTGTGCGTCGTGTACTTTCCTCAAGGGGGAACTTTCGGGGGGGACCCGCTCAGGGAGCAAGCATCGAGCTGGTATCGGCGACGTATCGCACGCTCCTGGGCGGGGCGCGTTATCATCGGCCCCCAATCGGCGATCGATGGGCGACCGGGGAAGGATGCATCCCTCGGCGGTGGACAAACCTCCCTTAGTAGACCTCCCCTTAGTGAAAACGGCCTGGGGCCGAAACCGACGGGCCTGGACCCGCAAAAATACGGCCGCGACGCCCTCTCGCGAACCGAAAACGGCCAATTCCTTAGTCGACGTGTCAGGGTAGGAGGTCTGTCCACCCCCGAATCCCCCCTGAGCTAGGGCTCCCAACTTCGCGCTTCGCGCTGCGCGAAGCGCGAATAACTTCGCGCTCTCGCGCCGCCCTCCCAAAGGGAGAATAGGAGGACGAGGAGGAGGGGGAGGAGAAACGAGGACCGCGAAGCGCGAAGCGCGAATAACTTCGCGCCCTCGAGGGAGCCCTTGCTGAGAGCCTACCCCCCCGTCCCCCATGGCCTTCGGGCCGTCACTCGGCTTCCGGCGGCCGCTCGTTCGGGACGATCCGGGCAACACCGGAGCGCCCTCGGCGAGGCGCAGAGGCCTGGAAAGAGCCGCCGAGCACCGACGGGAAGCGTCCGAAGACGTCGGATCCCGACCCCGAGAATTTTTGGACGCCCGAGATGGGGTACGGAAGACATGGGTGCAATGCCCAGCAGCACATGTTGTCCCAAGCCAGCGGCGGCCGCTGTTGGGCAGGCGGCCTTCTGTCCCAAGTGGACACAGGCCGCGGCGGCGCGACTGTTCAAAATGAGCTGCTGTTGGGCATTGTACCCATCTTTCCGAACCAATTTCTTCGTTCGTGCGAAGAGAAAGATGCCCTTCCCTGAACCTATCGCCCCCTGACGTTGTCCCCGATTCCTCATCTGGGCAAAGTCGATGAGCTTCAGAGTGCCGTCGCCGGCGGCGACGATGTTCTCGAGGCAAATGTCACCATGTGCCCAGCCGCCGTCGTGCAGCCCGGCGAGGAGCCGGAGCAGCTGCGTCGTCAGCGAGCGGAGCCCCGACTCGTCGAGCGCGACGGCGCCCGAGGCAACGACCGTGAAGAGGTCGCCGCCTCTCGGAGGGCCCGTCGAGACGTCAGGGCTGAACCTAAACGGTGTTTTTCGATTTCGTTTTGTTTTCGTTTTCCCTCGTTTTGTCTTCAGTCCACCTCTACCGCAAAACGAAGTCGAAACGAAAACGGCCCACGAAATCGCCCAAACACCGTTTAGGTCCAGCCCTGCGAGACGTCGGCCACGCTCCTCGGCGCTGTTCGCCCTCCTGGGGCCCCCTCGGGAAGCTTTCCGCCTTCCGCCGCCACAGCGAGGCCCACCTCGAAACGCACACGTCAGGATGGGCCCCGAGCACGTACGGTGGAGGCCCGACCGCCAGAAACCTTCCACGAGCAGCCCGACCCCGAGACCCCAGGACCTCCACTGGTTCTTGGGGTGGGAGCGTCGCGCTGTCCATGGCAGAACCATCGACACCCGAAGAAACCCGGTGGCACGCCGGAGCGGCGGCGAGCGAGGGGGGAAGTGCGAAGGGGCGGGCCTCCTCGGAAGTCTCGGAAGTCCCCTGGACTCCTTGAGAAGTCTCCTGCGCCTCCCCCGACGACGCAGAACACCTGTCAGGAGGCGCGAGGGCCTCTGAGAATGACTACCTACCAGACCACCCCAACCCAACCCGAAGACCCGAATTTCGGGTTGGGGGGGTTAAGGGTTCCACATGTGTTTTTTCGATGTTTCCCGACCCCCCCCCACTGGAAATCGAGGGTAAATCTGAGCCTTCGGGTTGGGTTGGGGTGGTTTGGTGGGTGGTGAGAGAAGTCACGCCGCCTTCTGAGAAGGCCTTCTCCTTCTCACTTCCGCCCCTCGCTCGCCGCCGAGCGTGGTCTGCGGGTCAGATGTCGGGTCTCCGGCGGGCGTTCGGGACGATCTGGGAAGCCTGGAACGCCCTCGGCGAGGCGCAGCGGCTGGCACGCATCCCGAGGGCGGAAAGCCGCCAAGAAACTGAGAAAACGCCCCCAAACCTAGAGCCTCGAAGTTCGATCCTCGAAGTTCTCCGTTCCCCCCTTCGCTCGCCGGCGATCGGGCTGGGCGAAAGGGGGGGATAGCAAAAGGGGGGTTTGAGAATTGGCTTGCGTACCTGATTCTCCCGGCGCCTGGAGCCCCGTCCCCCAATCCCCCCCTTTCGTCTCGCTCGCCGACGGCTGGAGGCGCGCAGGGTGGTTCTTTTAGTTGGCGCGGGCCCCCGCAGTGTTCGGTCGGGCCGAGAGGCAGAGCCGCCGTGGTCTCTCTCGGTTGGCCCCTTCCTCGAGCCTCTGCACCAGGGCAGGACGACGTAGAGGCAGGCGGCGTCCTTCGAGGGCAGAACAGTCCACCCCCCCCCCCCCACACACACACACACACACACACACACAACACACACACACACACACACACACACACACACACACACACACACACACACCACACACACACACACACACACACACACACACACACACACACACACACACACGAATCACACCAGGAGGGCCTCCCTCCTCCTCCTCCTCCTCCTCCTCCTCCTCCTCCTCCTCCTCCTCCTCCTCCTCCTCCTCCTCCCCCTCCCCCTCCCCCTCCTCCTCGCCTCCTCCTCCTCCTCCTCATCTTCCACGGCCTCCGTCTCCGCCCACTTCGTCGCCGACGTCGTGGTCCTCTTCAGGGTCGGCGGCACTGGCCGTCAGGCCTTCGCAATCACACCAGGAGGGCCCAGAATCGAATCGACACGTCGGATCGGCGATCGAGATGAATCGGATCGGCCGAAATCGGCAGCCGAGTCGGGAGAAGTCGAATCGGCGGAAATCGGCAGGCTAGTATGCCTCCACTAAGGAATCGGAGTCCAAATCAGAATCCGAAGCCGAATGGAAGCGGCATCGGACGCTATCGAGGTCGAATCGCATCGACTCGGAGGAATCGAGACGAGCCCTGTCACCCCGACGCGCGAAGACGTTCGGTAAACACACCCACAGAAGCACTCGAACAGGGCAGGGGCTGTTTCGTGAATGCCCAGGGCCGTTTCGTCAACGCCACTTCTCGGGACCGGGTGTTTTTGTCCTCCCTTTGAGTCCTTGAACACGGCACGCGCATGGAGCACGCCCGCCAGCCCCTCCCGCCGAGCCTCCAGCAGCGTGAAGACCTCGTTCCAGTTCTGCCTGCCGTAGTCGCCGTCGCGCGGCATCTGCTTCACCGCGCACACGTGCTGCCGAAGCGGAGGGCGATTGCCAAACGTAACAAGGGCAAGGAAGATGTGATTGCCGTTGGGGAGCCCATCGCCGTTCTTGACGCAACCAACCCTGTCGCCCAGACATCAGATGTCTTGATATGTCCAGTACGGTCCCCGCTCGAAGCTCCGACTTTTACCCCAGAGCTAACTTTTCATCCTGAATCGTTTTGTTGCCAATTCTGGCCGGGGCATGGCAACGGCCCATGGAGGCAAACAACAAAGAATAACCTCCGTGATTGCTGTTTCAAGACGCTGGATGTCTGAGTGATGGCCATGGGTATGAGGGAAAGGGCTCCTGAAGAAAGGGGGTTCTGGACCCTGCTTCTCCTGGACCAGCATGTCGCCACGAGCTTTCTCCTGACGGAGCCGAGGCGACGAGGCAGAAAAAGCGAAAGACCCCGAGGCCCCTTTCCAACAGGAGCCCTGTTCGTCATGAACACTTCCTGCTGATGGTCCCCTGCGGAAGGTCCGGCACCTCCGCCTCTGGAAGAGACCAAACATACCGTGCGGGCGCGGCCGCAAGACCCCCTCGCAGGAAACCCCGCCCTGAAACCCCGCAGGGGGGTGCAACAGCACCCTGGACGCAGCAGCCCCATCAGCGGCCACGGGAGGCCACCGCGCGCGCGGAGCGAAGAAACCCAGGGCACTCTGGCGAACAGCAGTCAATCTGAGTGTCTTCGGGGAAGCCAGCAAATACTGATACCGCGACTCCCCGGACCTCTCCCAGGATGTGTTCTGACCAGAACTTCGATGCGAATCCTGCGGTGGCGACGAGGGCCTCCCAGGAGGCCAGAAAAGGCAAAGACTAGTGGTATGGGTACCATGTGTTCTCCTCTGATTTTTGATGCGCGTCCACACTGAACACGAAAAGCGCGAGAAGATCAAGGCCAGCACGGATTTTCTTCGGCGCCGGCGCGCTGGACAGCCCTTTCGGGGCGGGCGCAACGGGGAGCACTAGACAGAGATTTCCCACCCTCGTAAAAAAACATCCCAACGAAAACGAATCCATTTAGTAACCTCGCCCAACGAGGACATCGAATAGGGACGGGCTGTCAGGTTCAACGGCCAGTTTCCTGATGCGTGCAAACGCTGCACAGGACAGACATGAAAACATCAGAGTCTGCACGCATGCTCGGCACCGGCGCGCTGGACCACCCTCTCGGGGCGGGCGCCAGGGGGGGGGGGCGCCCCTCTCGGGGCGGACGCAAGAGGGGGGGCGGCACACCCAATGGGGGGGGGGTAGCGAATCGGGCGGGATAGGAGGAAGGATAGGAGGAAGCAGACGACTGAGGAGGAGGAAAAGGCGGTTGGCGTATAGCTTTTGCACCAGCCCAGGAGAAAGGTATGTCGAAGTACCTGCATACAGCTGGTCTGCCCGGCGCCTCCGGGCGCTGGGAGCGACCATGTATCGATGAACGCGCAGAGGGGCGGGGGCGGCGAAACCCGCCGCATGCAGCCCCTCCTTCCCGTTCCCAGGCTCCTCTTCCTCCCTCCTCCTCCTCCGTTGTCTCCTTTTCCTGCTCCTGCTCCGGCTCCTGCTCCTGCTCCGCCTCCTCTTCCCCCTCTACGGTACGGGCATTCGAGATGGACCCCTGGTTAAGTCGGGCCTGTCCCCCTCCAGGGAGATTTTCGACGAAAACAAAAAATACCAAAACAAGATTCAAACATAGTCCAAACATACTCAAAAAAGTACCCAGGCTATTTTTGGACTATTTTTGAATATTCCCCCTGTAGAGGGACAGGCCCGATTTAAACCCATGGGGTAGGAACTCCTGGGTCTCGAAAACGGCGCGCAGCTGCTGGAGACCACCCCGAGGGCGGAAAGCCCGCGGGAACCCACGAAGACGCCCGACAGAACTGGAACCTCCGGCCCAACACCCTGACGTGAGGAGGCAACTACTGGGAGGTTTTCGTCGGAAAGATTAAGGAGGATTAAGCCCCATTTGGGAGCTATTACGCCGGAGTGGGCCTCGGATTAAGTGGGAGTAAGCCAGATTCAGCAGGATTAAGCGGGATTAAGCGGGATTAAGCCGGACTTCGGACCAGTGCCAAATCAGAATTTGACCTTCCAGGAGTTGCATCCCAACTGACGCACGTTGCCCCCGACGATGCACAAGCGGGGGCCTCGTCGTGGTGGTCCACGGGTGAGCGCGGATACCCCGCGGCCATGGCCGACGGCAGCCCTGAACGGCGGGGTTTCGGGGTGGCGATATCGAACGCCGCGGGCCCGCGAGGGCAGCCGAGCGAGCGCGCACAACCGCTCGGGCCAGAGCGGTCGCGGGGCTGTGGGTGGGAAGGGGGGGGGACGGGGGAAGGGGAGGAGGAGGAAGAGGAGGAGGAGGAGGAGGAGGAAGAGGAGGGGGTGGAGGAGGATCAGGAGGGGGGGGTAGGGGGAGGAGGAGAAGGAGGAGAAAGAGGAGGAGAAGGTGAGAGGTAGAAGAGGAGGAGGAGGAGGAGGAGGAGGAGGTGAGAGGTGGAGGAGGAGGAGGAAGAGGAGGAGAAGGAGGAGGAGGAGAAGGAGGAGCTGGAGGAGAGGAGGAGGAGGAGGAGGGAGGAGGAGGAGGAGGAGGAGGAGGAGGAGGTAGGAGAGGAGGACAGGCATGTGGCCCCACTTCTACAGCCGCTCTGCTCTTCCCTGGGTGGCCGACGGCGGGCTGCCTCCGGTGGGTGGGGGGAAGACAGAACCAGGGGGTGGGGGGAACCGAAAGGGTGGGGGCGGGCCTTCTCGGAAGGGGCGCGAGGGCTCCGGAAGAGCTCCGCCGTCCTCTGTCGGGAAGGTGGTATACTGGGGGGGGGGCCTATGGTGTGGGGGGGGGGAGAGGAGGGCCCCGCAGTGGCTCGTCAGGGCCCACCCGGTGCTGGCTCCCAGAGGGGCCCTCCAATGGGCCCCTCTCGGGCCCTGTTCTTCACCCCCCCCCGTGTAGAGGTGACTCCCCGATATGATCCACCCGCCGGATTCTGGGAAGGCCTGCCCCCCTCTCCACATCCAGGCCCGGGGCTGGGGAAGCGAAAGGGGGCGCGGGCCCTCCCGAAGGCGCGAGGGCTCCTGAGAGCTCCGCCGCCTGCTGAAGATTCCTGCCCCCTCTCACTTCGATGCCGGGGCTCGCCGCCGAAGGAAAGGGAAAACAAGAAGGGGATGGACAGAGCCCCCTTCATCAAAACGCGGTCTAGTGACGACGACCTCGGGCCCACGCCTGGTGGGCGCCGGCCTGGAAAGCGACGGCCGCGGCGCCCTCTCGAGAACCGACAACGGACAGTGCACCAATCGACGTGCCAGGGTGGGGGTCATGTCCACCCCCGACAGAATAGACAGGCGCATTCCAGTACTCGCAAAAAGTAACTACTCGCAAATGGCCTGGATCTGCCATGGGGGGTCTGCGATAACATTGCATCGAAACGCACGTCTTTTTCTGGACGCTCGCGAGCGGGCACTTTGCGAGGAGTGGAACGCGCTCGGCGACAGAGAAGCACGACAGCTGCGCGAGCCCAGCGGCGCAGGAGCCACAGGCCGCGGCCGGGCAGCGGCGGGGCGCGCGCCGGCGGGGGGGGGCACAGCAGGGCACGACAGGGGCGCGAGGGCGCAGGGCGGCCAGAGGGGCTACTCGCAGCTGCGCGAGCGCACACACGTTTGGAGCTCCGCGCGCGGACTGGTCGCGTCGGGGCGCCGAATCGCCCCCCCCCCCCCCCAAAAGACAAGAAGACGCCCCCGCGAGCCCTTCGCGAGCTAATCCCCCTTCCGGCGCTTGCCCCCGCGCGTCCTGGACCGCGGCCCCGGCCCCGTCCCCGGCCCCGTCCCCGCCCTGGCCCCCCGCCCGCTTGCCGTCGCTCGGACGTCCATCTCCTGTGCACGTTTCGGTTTCGTGCGTGTTTTTTGTTGCCAATTCATGGTGTCTTCTGTTCGCTCCTGCCTCTCCTCGGGGGCGGGGAGCTCGAGGATCTGGGGAAACCCAGAAAGGCACCGATACCGCTACTCCCCGGACCTCCCCCGGGGTGCGCGTTCTGACTCGGATTTCGAGGCGAATCCAACGGTGGCGACGCGGGCGTCCCAGCAGATCCACAAGGGGGCAAACGAGGGAAAGGGGCAAACGAGGGAAGGGTGCCGCCCTCTTCTCTTCGTCTCTTCCTCTCGTGGGAAGGGTACCCTGCCATCCTCCGAGGATCGGAAAGGGAGAGGCATGGTTTCTGTTGTTGTTGTTGTTTTTTTTTCAATGTTGTTGTTATTGTTGCTGCTGCTGTGTTTATTGTTGCTAATGTTGTTGTTGTTGTCGTCGTCGTCGTCGTCGTCGTCGTCGTCGTCGTTGTTGTTGTTGTTGTTGTTGTTGTTATTGTTGTTGTTGTTGTTGCTGTTGTTGTTGCTGTTGTCGTTGTTTTGAGGCATCGGCCGCAGACCTGGGCGGCCCAGACCGCGGCGGCCCGCCTCCGCTCCCGCCCTCCCCGCCGGGATGGCCCGCTGGTCGCCTCGGAGCCACGAGTCGGCAGACCTCGACAGGCGCCGAAGCGGCAGACCGCGGCAGGCAGATCGGAAGGCATCGCGTGCGTGAGGGGCTTTGAGAGGGGCCCGGGGACACACAAATACATAGACACAAGTAACAGGATGCCCCAGGTGTTCCCATGTTTTCTGTTTTTTTTGTCTCCCCCCCCCCAATTCCTATATTTTCCCATATCTTCTTGGGAATCGACGGTGAATTGTGTCTGTGTGTTTTTCTCCCCTCCTGGGGCTTTCCCGTTCGAGTCGTCGTCGCCGTCAGTCGTCCATCGTCGTCTCTGTCGCCCTCTTTCCCTGCGCTCTCCCCTCCCTGTGCCCGTCGCTGCTCCTCTCCTCCCCTGCCCGTCGCCGCTCCGCTCTCCGTTCCTGGGCTCTCCTCCCGAAGCGTGTCCGCCGAAGCGCAATTGAGCAACACCACCATACCCTCGACAGACAGATCGGAAGGCATCGAAAGCGATACGCGGCGGCCCGAGCCGAGGCCTGCGCAGGGGGAACCCAAGCCCAAGCCAGAGCTCGGAGCCAAGCCGAGTCGAAACCGGCAGCCTCGAGATCAGACCGATTGACTCGACAGGGCCCAAACTAGATTAGAGCGTTCCACTACTCGCAAAGTAGTTATCTACTCGCAAATGGACTGGATCCGCTGCGGGGGATCTACGATACTTTCCATCGACGCAGAGATGTGTTTTTCGGGCGTTTGCGAGTAGGCACTTTACGAGTAGTGAGTGGAACACGCTCGGTGAAAAAGGGCTCCCTCCCCGCCCCCCTGAGCACACACGCCCTAACCAGGCGGGCGAGGCATAACTCGGCTCTGCAGCGGCCGTTCAGGACGATCTGGGGCACCCCCCAGAATGCTCTCTCTGCGAGGCGCGCCTGCTGGAACGCATGCCTAAGCTGGAGAACCGACGAGAGAGAAGCGCCGAGAACATCCGAAATCCTTTCACCTCGAGGCCGAAGCGTTCCCCATATCTGCGCCTGTCCCCCTTCAGCGGTGCCCCTGATCCCTGCCTCTCCGCCCTGCGCCCCTGCAGGTCCGGACAACGGCTGGCCTCCGTCCGACGGGCCCCCGTCGGACGCGACGCCCTGGGCCGCCCAGTAGATGGAGCCGATCACCCAGGGCAGCCCGAGCCCGAGGAAGACGTTGACCTCTGGGCGGGCACTTTTCAATGGGCCCTGGAGATGACAAAGCACTTGTGCTCGCCGGTTCCGCTTTGTGTTGTTGTAATCACCTGCTCTGGCGCCGTCCTTTTCCTGGCTCCGTCGCCGTAGATTTCCTGGCTCTTGCTTTGGTCCCAATGCTGGAGCCGTTTTTTTGTTCTGCACCGATTATGGGTCACATGTTCTCTTTCTTTGCAGTTTTCATGTTGCAGAACAGATCTTCAATGGTAGGCAACAGAAATAGCCATAAGCCTGTGGGAGGAAACCTAAGTAAGAGGGGACCAACAACATTAGGGATAGGAGTCTTTTCTGCAGTTGTATCAGGCCAAACCGCCCAGCTCTATTATCCCTAATGCGAAGACGGAGACCTCAGTGAAGCCACGTCGTCATCGTGTTATTAGGGTTAGGGGCTCTTTTGTGCTCGATGGTTCAAAACACTGGAAAATCTGGCGTTTCCGGGGCGCCCCCGAAAACCAGACCCTCGGGTTGTGCACAACGGCAAGACGGAATCTGCTCTGCTACGTTCGGCCCCCTGGGGGCCTTCGCTGGGCCTCGGGGCCACCAAAAAACGACTCAGGATGCAGAGCGGGTCCTACAGTCATCCTGTGTTATACGGACGCACGATAAGGATGTAAGGGGTTTGGAAGGCCATGCCGACACTCTGCGGGCGAGGCACGACCAGCGAAAGTGGCCAATGATGGGCCGAGAGGGGAGGATGCAAGGGTAACCTTGGAAGGCCGGTCATCCGCACCATGCGCGTTGACTGTACACACGCATGTGTCTAACACAACGCCCCGCTGCTCGAGGTAGAGTGTTCTCAGGTCCTCTAGAGTTCTTCATATTGTGGTGAATGCTCTCCCAGAAGGCCCCAGGCTCACATTGCCGGCCATAGGAGCGTAAACGACAGCCCACGACGCCCATGGATCGCCCCGCGACAACCCCAAAGCCTTCGCGGGGGGTGGACGGAAGGGGGGAGGAGAGATAAAGAGAAAGAGAGAGAGGCAGGAAAGGAAAGAGAGAGAAATAGAGGAGGAGGAGGAGGAGGAGGAGGAGGAGGAGGAAGAGGAAGGGGAGGAGGAGGAGGAGGAGGAGGAGGAGGAGGAGGAGGAGGAGGAGGAGGAGGATGCGGGGGAGGGAGAGGGGGGTCTCCAAAAGGGCCCCCAAGACCGCCAGAAGGTCCCTAGGAGACGCCCCGGTGGCCACCTGGATACAACTGCGACGCACGCCCTAGAGGCCCCCCCCCAACATGGGGGCCTCAAAGAGACTGTCTCAGGCTGGTCTCCAAGGCCCCCCTCCTGCATCCTCTCCTGGGGCGTCAGCGCGCGAGCCCTCGCGGCTCTTCGAGCCCTTGCGGCGAGCTCCTGTGGAACCCAAGGGGCCACGCGGGGCCCGCTCGGGGACCTTCCCGCCAGCCTCTTGGGTCTCTTTTCGGGGAAACCAAATGGGTACCAATCCCGCTACTCCTCGAGCCTCTCCCGGGGTGCGTTCTGACCAGGATCTCGAGGCGAATCCACCGGTGGCGGCGCGGGCCGCCAAGGAGGCCCGGAAAGAAGAAAACGAGGGAGGGGCAGAAGTCTGGGGGTCTGTTCCTCCTCCGCCTCTTGGGGCTCGTGGCCCTGCAGCCGGCACGGCTGTCCCCTGGGTGCCCCGCCTCGGGTTCTCGACGCGCGACGACTGCATACCGCAGCGGCCAGGCCCCCAAAGAGCTGGTGCTCCCTGGGGATCCCGCCTCGCGCTCTCGAGTGGGAGTCGCTGGAGCCAATACAGCTCATAACGTGTTCCTGCTTGGCATCGTTCGTATGTGTGTCCATCGCTTCCGGCGCAACTCGGTCTTCGATTTCGTCCAAGGGTGGCGTCGACGATGTATATTTGTTGTGTATGGTTGGTTCGGGCGCATCTGCTTTTAATGTATGGGTGTGTATGTGTCGTACAATTTTGCACGTCCCATGCAACAGGTGATAGTCTTGATCGCGCGAGCCATTCTATTAAAAAACTACTGTGCCACTAAGAGCGTACTGCTTCGCGCCGCGCGGTGGTGTGCCATCTTGGAGCGCGACTGCGAACCAAGGCCGGGATGACTTTTCGGATCCATCCTGACAATTCCGGAGGTCCTGGAATCCGGGGACGGCCCCCAGGAGCCCAAATTGCAAAAACTGTTTTCTTCGGCGGCGAGGCAAAGGCAGTCCGCGCCAGCGTGTTTCTATTTGGAGTCCCGAAACGGTGCGGTGACAGACCGTGCGGTGACCTGGAACCCCCCCCAAAACCTCACCGCACGGTCCGACACCGCACGGTCTTGGGACCTCGAAGGCCCCAGCCGCCCGAAACGTCATCGGAGAGGGACTCGAGTCCCAAAACCGTGCGGTGACCCCGAATCCCCACCGACTCACCGCACGGTGTGGTCAACACGCCGTTTGGGGGCCCCCGATTCTATTCGGGGCAACCGAAAGGCGAATTGTCCGGCGTGCAAAGGGAGGTAGAAGACGATGGCGGCCGGGCGAAACGAAAACGTCAGGAGGCCGGTGTGCTGGGTCAGACCTCGACCCCGAGACCCGCAGCGGAACTCGGCCTGGCCAGCATGATGAGGCGATGCGCACCCGGCAGTGGCGACGACAAAACGTCGACGGCGAGGCAGAACTGCGCCAGCGAGCAGCGCTCCAGCGCAACGGTGCACTCGACCAGGATGGTAAGGATGCGCGGTAAGGATGCAAGGGCCTTGGAACGCCATGCTGACGTTTTCCGTGCGGAGCGCAGCAGAATACCGAAGGATGCCGAATACCGAAGGGGCAAGGATGCAAGGGTAGCCTTGGAAAGTTGCCCCATCCTTACGATCATGAGTGGCTGTACGCGAATTGGCCGACGTGCAAGAGGGGGAGCAAAACAGACAAGGCGGCCGCGGGACACGGGAGGAAGCGGAGGGCACCTGGGCGCGGAAGAACTCCGAGCGGAGTGCGCCGGCGCGGCCAGCAGCGGCAACGGGGGCCGTGGCAACAGCCCCGAGGCCGAAACGAGGAACCGCAAACGCCTCAAGCCCAGCCTCCTCGATCCTCCATCCCAATCTCAAGATTTTCGAACTCGGGAGGTTACAATTGAGCAGGGACCGATCGTCCCGGCAGTCCTATAGTCCTTCGACCAAAAATGAATGTTCTTAGAACATAAAAAACATGTGTTTTTCTGCTCAAGAAAAAAACACAAATGTTCTAAGAACATGTCGTGGAAACCATAAGAAGTTCTTAGAACATTGTTTGGTAGGGCTACAGGCGAGCCAGGACGCTTCGCCACTGCTTGACACGAGAGGTGCGGAGACAGAACGTGCGGTGGCCTCGAAACCCCCGAGGATCGCACCGCACGGCCCGTCACCGCAGAGCTTCGGGACCCTGTAGTAGGCCCCCGCCCGAGAGGTCCTCGGAGAATGACCCAGGTCCAAAATCAATGCGCTCGCCCCGAATCTCGACTGACTCAGCCACACGGTTACAGTCGGGCTTGATTGCACAGGACACGCGAGAGGACACAAGACCCTTCCGAGGGCCACGTTGCCACAGGAGTGTGCGAATCATGGGTCGCGAGACACAGGACACGAGGGTACCCTTGATTTGGCAGGGTCGACCTACTAATCTGGGCCGACTGTATCTCATGCATTTGTATAATCCCACCAGCCCTCTGGGCGTAGGTGGTCTAGAACATATCCTCTTCCACCCCTCCCTCTTCCCCCTTGGGGAGGGGTTTACCCCTCCCCCTACCCCCTCCCCTGGACCTCGACGGAGGGTTTCGCGAGCGGTCGGACGGCTCTTTTGGCCCCAAGATGGCTTCAAGAGCGCGTCAGAGAGCCCAAGATGAGCTCCAAGATGGCTCAAGATAGCGCAAGATCGCTCGAGATGGCTCCTAAGATGGTTCCAAGAGGCCCAAAGACGGCCCCAAGACGGACCCTTGTGGCCAAAGAGCTCCCCAAGGAGGCCCCGAAGAGGCCAAAATCGTCCCAAAACCTTGAGAAAATCAAGGTGTGTTGCTTTCTCCCCGTTTCGCTTCCGATGGCCATCCGAGGCCTCAAAATGGCTCCAAGATGCCCCAAGAGGGCCCCAAGAGAGGCCCAAGAGAGCCCCAAGACGGCCCCAAGAGCGCCCAAGAGCGCTCCAAGAGCGCCCCAAGAGCGCCCCAAGAGGCGATGTTTGGAGCTCCTGAGGGGGGAGGCTAATTAGGGACCCCCCCTTCGTTGATCGATCTCCTCCAAGATGGCCCCAAGAGCGCCCCTACAGCCCCCAAGAGCGCCCCAAGAGCGCCCCAAGAGGCGCCCAGACGGCCCCAAGAGGCGCCCAAGAGGCCTCCAAGAGGCTCCCAAGAGACCCCCAAGGAGCCTCAAGAGGATCTCCGAAATGCATTTAAGACGCTTCTGGCTCTTCGGTTCGCCGTCCTCTTCAATTTCTCATCCCCCTCTTCCTCCTCCTCCTTCTCCTCCTTCTCCTCCTTCTCCTCCCTCTGCTCCTTCTCCTCCTTCTCGTCCTCCTCGTCCTCTCCCTACTCCACATCCTCCTCATATTCTCCTCCTCCTCCTCCTCTTCCTCCCCCTCTCCCTCCGACGAAGATTCCTTCTCCATCCTCCCCCTCTTGGGGTACGTGACAGCTTCCCCCGCCCTTTGTTATTCTGCATGCTCCCCGACTTCCCTGATCACCTCAACTCCCCTGGGCATCGTTTCTGGATGGGCTGGTGGGGATACGCGAAGCGTCAACAATTACTCTAGAATCTGCACTGACTCACCACACGATGTGGTCGCCGCCACGTTTGGGGGCCTTGATGAAGGCGCCCCGCCTGCCCCCGCCGGGCCCCAGCGCAGATCGGACCGAGTTGCTGCCGGTGACATTCCCGATGGACGCGTCGGCGTAGGGGTCCGCTATCGCCGCGGTCTTGGAGGCGAAGAGGTCGGGCATCGACCTGCAAACAGTCACGCTGCTGCCGTAAGGAACGACAAGCAGGAGCGAATCCCCGTTGTACGAGGCGGAGGTTAACCCATACCCACCGCTAAGGGGATGATCTTCGAGGACCCCGGCAAGCGGTGGATATCCATGTATTCGGACCCTGGGGGGGCAAGTATTTCCGTATCCAGCGCCTGGCGATGTTACCCAAGATCGATCCCCCATGACGAACGAATAACACACACATACCCCCATACCCACAGGGGTGACGGAGGGGGCTGTGGGTGCGTGTTGTCGGATGGGGGCTGTTTGTTGTTTGTTCGCGTCACCCCAGCCAGTGGTGATGGATACATCCCCGCCACGGATTTGGTGGCCCAACAAATGCCCTAAAGAACGACGAGCGCCAGAGGAGCGAGCCCGGGACCCCTCTTCGAGCAGAGAACGGCTACATAATCGATTTGCCCTCAAAGTTAGGTTTCTCGTAGAACCTGCAGCGAAAAACGTAGACCGTCCCGCAGATCTGCGCAACAGTCTTCGCATGTCTGGAAGATTCGACGAAGAAATTCAGTCTGTAATCTGGGGTAATTCTGGAACTCGACTTCTGGACCCGAGCTGTCTCTTATTGCAGCGCCTTGACCGTACAGTAGGTTCGTGCGGCGTCGTCGCGCGCAAAGGTCTCTGACACCACGTCGATCGTTCAACCTTGAATCGCTGGCGGCACCGATCGCTCAGGGTTGAATTCCGTCGGGTCCAATGGCATCGCCGTGCCCCTTGGTGCTTTCGCGTCGCAAGATTCAACCTTGAACGCCTTCGCCGGTGTCGCCGGCGCGCCGACGCCGCATTAACCCATCACATGCTTTGCGGAGGTCTCCGAGCCACCACTCCTGGCCAGGGCCATCCTGGGCCGACCCTGCCTGGTGATAACTGCCTCCTGGCCAGGGCCCAGGACAGCCCTGGCGCAGTGGTGCTGTATGGATGCTTTCTGAGGAAATGTAGATATACACACATTTATAGTTACAAGTGTACGCGTATAGATGTACACACGTTGATAGCTACGCATATACGCCTACGTACACGCACCCGTACATACCTACCTACATACCTATATATATATATGTATAGATATGTTTATATATGCATATGTGAATATCCAAACATAGATGCATCCATACATGCATACACACATATATATTTATATACCTACATACACACGTGCACACATACATACCATACATGCAACCATGTAAACATACATACGTGCATGCATGCGTCAAAACACGAATGCATGCGTACACGCACACGCGCATCCGTACATACATGCTTGCATACACACATACATGCATACATGCATACATTCACACGTACATACATACACACATGCATACATACAACATGGCTGCATGCATGCCTGCATGCATGCATACATCGGTTAGAAACATACAGGCATCCACATGTACATGCGTGCATGCCCACATACATACATACAAACATACACACGGAGACACATGAATACATACACGCATGCATGCATGCACGCATGCATGCGTTGCGTACACACGTGCGTACATACACACAGGCATGCATGCATGCATAGATACACGCATACATGCATGCATGCATAATACACCTATACAGCCATCCAATCATGCACATATGCACGCACGCAAATGTTACCTATATACACATGCATACATACTAAATACATGTATACATGCCTGCATACATGCCATCAATATTTTATGTACATACATGCATACATACATACATGTATGCATGCATGCATACGTACACACATATATACACTCATACATATACACACATGCGTATAGCCATACAGTCAGTCAGCCATACATACAAACACACACTCATGCATGCATGCATGAACACATGCATACTTACATAGATACATACATACATACATCCATACATACATACACACATATATATATATATACATACATACATACATACATCCATGCATGCATGCATGCATGCATGTATGCATGCATGCATGCATACATACATACATATATACATACACAGCCCTTCATTCATGAATGCATCGAATAAGGAAAACAACAGACAGACAGGCAGGCAGGCAGACTGACAGACATACACACATATTTATAGATATATAGATATATAGATATATCGATAGATAGATAGATGGGTAGATATATAGATATAGATGGATAGATATATGTAGATGTGGGGGACGGGGGACGGGGGATCGAAATTCAGGGTTCGAGTCGCGGGTCGAGGGGTCGGACGCCTCTGCTGTACCCTGTCGAAGCCGACCTCTGGAGAAGCCCCCCGGGAGACCTCCGGGGGGGGGCCTGCGCAGACCCCCGAGGCGGGAGGCGCAACAAGCGGGAGGGGCCCAGGCCTCTTGGCAACTCGCGGAGGAGGAGCGCTTTCATCCCACCGGGAAAACAAAAATCTGAGTTTCTACATCGGGCGACAAGGGGGGAAGGGGGGGGAGGTCTGGCTCCAGACCTCTGCTCAATGCGACTGTTTGCAACAGAGCGTCCTGTGGGGGAGACCCCACCTGCCTGAAGCAGGCGCCGAAAACAACCAAGATCTACTCCATGGGTGGGGCGCGGGAGCCCGTGCCGATCGGCAAAACAAGGAATAAGAAAACGATCACCACCAGCCCTTTGGGCCTGCGTGGTTTGGGGAATTAGCTCTGCCATTCTCCGTCTTCGGCCTCCGTTACCCGTCGGTCGGAAGAAGTCGGTAGAAGCATACAAGTGGGAGGGCGTCGGAAGTAGATTGGGCGTCCGGCCGCACCCTGAAGAGGAGGGAAGAGGGAAAACCACCCAACTCTTGAAGCAGGATGGCGGCCAAAATAGTCTAGGATCTGGGAATCCAGAGATACCCACATCCTATGACCGGCCTGTAAATGTTGCCCTATCCGCGATTTCTCTCTCAGCCCGCGCTCTCATGTTGCTGCAGTGTCTCACGCCCTGCGCCTCCGCCTGCGCAGCGAGGTGCCTCCAGAGACTCCTCGACCGGACTTGACTTGGCCTCCATCTGACCTTCAGAGGGAGGGTTCTGGAGGTCGGGAAAGGGGTGTGGCATCAAAGGGGCGCGGTGCCAATCGTGGGAATGGCGATGCTATCTACGATAGAAAACCTCGCCAGATCCAGGACGAGGACAAGGAGGAGGAGGAGGACCAGTGTAAATCCTCCCTCCAAGCATTGGCAATCCTACCCCCAGAAGGGTTGGCATCCCCCCCGACTCCCCCCTCCCTGAGCCTGGACGGGGCCTGTCGCGGGCACAGGGCGCGTCTGGGCCCCAAGAGGGCCCCAGATGGCCCAAACTGGCGTCCAAGATCGCACAAGGTAGCCCACGATGACTCAAGATAACCGCCGTGTCCTGGCCACTTCTTGGGAACTCCCTGCTTTTTGTCTTCTCATCTGGTCGATTCCAATGGGGTCTCGAGTCCTCTGGATGGCGCCAAGATGGCCCAGGAGAGCCCCACGACAGGCCCACGACGGCCCAAGAGCGCCCGATCGCACCCCACAAACGCCCCACGAGGACCCCAAAAGGTCATTAGCCTGCCTCCGTCGGAGGAGTCGTGATCTCAAAGCCCCCCATTTGGTTGATCGATGCCCACCTGCGGTGGCCCGAAGAGCGCCCCCCCAAAGGCCCCAGGAAGGGACCAAGAACACCAAGAGGCTCCGAAGCCCTCCAAAATGACCCCAAGAGGGATCCAAGATGGCGCCGGCAAGCTGCCAAGAGGTCCCCACATCGACGGATCCTCGAGGGCATGTACAGCTGACTCCTGGGCCTGCTCCGCCTCATCCCGCTCTATCGGCTTGGCGGCTGCCCTCTGCCCTTGCTCCGCTGCGTGTCCCCACGGCTCCCTCGGCAGTGCAACTCCACCGAACTCAATGGGGCGTCAGGGCCCGAGCAAGGCTGTGTCTTTTTCGTCTGCGTTGTGCTTTCGTGCTCCTCCGTTCTGTCTTCGTCCTGCCCTTGCTGCGGCAAGAACACACCACGAAAACGGCTCAGCTCGAGCACTGCTGGACATCGCTGCTGGATGGGCTGATGGGGAGACGCAAAACAGCGAGAACGTTGTGTTCAGGCGCGCGAGTTTACCTGCAGGACGTCTTGCCGCCCTCGACTTCCCAGCCCCCTGCTCGACCCACATCCCCCAAAACTGCACGGAATCTACAGCAACGTCCGCAACCGTGGACCTCCAAGGCTGGGTCATGGCACCCTGGGTGCGCAAGCTGTGTGGTGCAGGCTGTGTCGTGCAAGCTATGTCGTGCAAGCTGCGTGGAGCAATAGACATGGTGCAAGCTATGTGATGCAAGGTATGCGGTGTAAGTCATGTGGTGTAGTCTTTGTGGTGCAATAGTGGTGCAAACTATCTGGTACAATCTGAGTGCTGCAGCATCTATGATCCAATCGCTGCTGTGCAAGACGCACACGGACGACCACCGGGCAGCATCTATCAACATCGGATTGGAAGCCACGTCGCATAGGAGTGCGCGTCGGACTGGGCTGCATCGACACGGCATCGAAATCGAATCGGAGCGCTTGCGCCAGCAAGCACAGAGCCGCATCGGATCGTCAGAATACCGAGTTGGACCGGATCGAAAGAGCCGAAACCGATGTCGAATCGGATCCATCAGATCGAAATGTTCGGTGGCAACTCATGGGCGCCTCCCGTACACTCTTGTTGGTTCTTGCGAATCGACGCACATCAGCGCTAAGTCGACGCTGCATCGGCGCTCATCGACGCTAGATCGGCGCTACCTCATCGACTGCCTGACGCCAATCGGCGCTAGTCGACGCTGACGTCAGAATCACGAGGGCACACGAAGGCGCCCATGAACTGCAAAAGACCCTGCGGCCAGCGGACGAGGCGCCCACGCGGCGCCACGGGCGGCCACGGAAGGAACAGAGCGAACCGCCAAGCGACGCACGCGATGCGCGTGGCGGCGTCTGGGAGCAGAGCAAGGAGGCGCACGCGGAAGCCTTGGAACCCAAATGAGTGACGATCAAAAACGGGTCTTGCGCGAGATGACGCAGCGACCCTACGCGGTGGCTTACGCGGGCCGCCCGCGCGGCACGCCACAATTGCAGCGAGGACGCTCACGCGCGACTTGACGCGGGCAGCTTACGCGCCAACTCCGGCGCAGACGACCGCGTTTTTCTGCGTCGACCAAATGAGAACCCCAGAAATGCAGGGAAGCCAGAGCAGGGACAAGGTCGAGCAGAGATGAATCCATGATCGCTGAGATCCAGCGGTTCTGGATGATGTATCGGGCGCGTAGCCATTCCAGAGCACTCCGGATCCGATACGCTCTGGACTGAGTTTCCCCCGTCCTGGCCTCACCCGAACAAGTGCAAGCACTGCTTGGGGAAGCCCAGAGAGCACCAGACGTTTTCTCGCGACGTTCAGCATGCAGATGCGCCATTGAAAACAAAGCACGGCTCAGGACATCAGACGGCGGTCTTTCTTCCCTTCAATTCGTTGTCCCGTCTGTTGGGGGCAGCTTCTTCGCCATGGATCCATGTCGG